AACAGTGAAAATGAGTCCTACTAATCGGAATCGCAATATTATTATTATATTATTATTTTGTAACATATCGTGCAGCACTACTTTATTGTGTTTTTTGGTTTTGAAACCCAGTTATCACCTTCCTTGCTAAAAGTCTCACCACTTCGCTGTTATTTTTGATGGTGGACTGACTCTTTTTTCGGGAAAGCTGTGGCAGCAGCAGTTCAAGCTGACACAGGCAATCACTCTTTCTCCCTGTCCTCCTCACTACAGAGAGCTGGAGGATGACTCCCACTTGGTGAGACTTAACATCCCAGTTTAATCACATTGTTTTACTCTCCACACACGCACGCACACACACACACTCCTACGAGGATATGGTGACCACCTCACCACTTGCCATGGATGCTGGCACTGCTGGAGACATTGTTAGCTGGGATTTTACAGTCTCTCTCTTTTTTTCCTCAATTTTAAATCATTTATAGGTAACATTAAACGTGTGATTATAGACCTGCTTGTAATAAACAACAACAGTGTGTTGCGTGCAGAAACTACATTCCTAATCATGTTTTTGGAGCCTTATTAGGAATTCTGTGGGACAGCTGGAGTGAAGCCAAGACCCTGCTCTGCTTTGGTGGTTTGCTTTGAGGGACTGTGTTTACCCTCTCAGTAATCAGTGCAGTTAGATGGATGTGTTCCTCAGATAAGTGTTTCCCTTGATGAGGTCCTTACCTGACCACAAAGCATTTATCGCCCTAGACGTATGATGACCTTAAATTACCCCCCTTTACTCGCTCCCCTGTATTTTGGTCTCGCCCCAGGCCGCTGTGGCTTCACTGTTTGTATGCTGGCTACCTCGCGGTGTGGGGGCAAGCCCACAACTCCCGAATCAAGTGTCCTTTTCGGCTTTTGTTAATGAGAAGCTGGTGTGGGTGGAAGTGGGTTTAAATTCCCTGCGGCATAACTCCAAGGAATATTTTCCAGATATAGAGGGAAACAGTTAACACAATTCCAAACAGCCTAGCCTGTAAGAAACCACTGTTATTCCTGATGTTTTTTTGTCAAAACGCCAGTGGAAAGGCTTTTCTGTCTTTTTCCAAAACATTAAAAAAGTTAAGTCAATCTCGATGCAGCAAAATGAAGCAATAATACTGGAAGACAAGGTAACTCACTATGCCCAGATAGTAAAAGAAAAGGGCAAATGTCAGAAAGCTGCACTCAACAGTACAATATGAGAAGCACTGTGTACCAAGCAACATTTAAGATACACTACACAAGACTATGAAAAGAGGTGTTGCTTGTCATGATGAAACCACAGAGAAGTGCCATTCAGCTCTGCAGTGTTTTCAGTATTTTCAGTCGAAACGGGCAGCTGTTTTCAGTGAAAATGCTCTTTTCCCGCTGTCCTCTACCTGCCTGGTAGCAACCAGCTGGTGAGCATAGTGGAGCATTCTGCATTCAGCAGATAAAGAGTCGGGTATGTCTTTCAAGAATTGGTGAAGTGTTTACACGTGTAATCATGGTTCCATGAATGGAAGTGACTCTGCTGGAACCATTTACTGTCTAACTGGACGAGAGAAGGCAAAAAGTTTGGACATGCTACGGCCTTTTTACTGAGATGTTGTTTGGCTAGTTAAGATGTCAGTTGTGATCCTCTGTGACGTCTGTGTCATCTACCTTTTTGTTCCAGATAACCCTCTTTTGTTGGGCTGATATTCCGTTTCTGATCCCAGACTCGATAGACTTCTGAGTATTGAAATCCTTGACATTCACACCGGTGTCTCTTGCTGGCATGTACAATTACGTAGTGTGCCTTTACAGACCGATGCTGATTGCTGTCCCCTTTTTTAATGCATTAGCCTTCCAGTATTTACATGCATTGACCGTGATCAAAGACGTTTTAAAATGGATTTTTGCCGCTGTGCAAACCAAACCAACACGCGCCTCTGCCAACTGCAGTCTTGCTGAACGAGACAAACACGAGCCAGCCAGCTTTTTTGTTGTCTTTTATTTTTTTATTTACATTTTCCAGCTCCTCTCCCTTCTCTGAAGAGGTTCAGAGGTATTTGCTCACCCGTCTGATCTCACTGTGAGTGTTTTAAAAAGTGTGTTTTCTTGTTTACGCACCTGCCACACACACTAAAAAAACACTCCCCTCACCTCACTTGAATGGGGGGATATATTCATCTTTCCCCCTCTCCCCATCTTCTCCTCCCCCTTCTCTTTATTTCCCTCCTCTTTTCAGCGTTCCTTTGCTCCTCTGTGAACTACGTTTTCCACATCAAAGCACTGAGATCCCTTTCTTCTGTCCAGGATGCTTCAGCTGATGAGAAAGGTGCAGAGGAACATAACAACAGTAGCTCAGAGCATCGCTTATGCATCTGATCACGTTCTCAAAACACAGGATCACATGGTTTCTTCTCTTTGTTTGTCACAACCATAGAAAACAATGGAGGGATTCCACGCTGTCAACTCTTCGGCTCTTTGCGTTCAGTAATTTTTGTTTCGGTGGACATCAGCTTTCAGCAGGGAGCAAAGCCTGTAATTTCCCCGTCTCTGCAAAAAACACAATGCATGAGATTTACTACACATCTGTTTGCACCAACTCCTTGGGGTGAGGGATGGGGACACACACACACACTCATAGAGTCAACATGCTGGTAACTTAATTGATCCTGTTGTCAGAAGGAGCCCCCTACTACTTTTGTGTGAAGAGGGAAGGAGGGAGGGGATGGAAAGCAGAAGGGAGAAAAGGGAGTTGACAGTTTTGTAGATACATAGTCAGAGAGACAGCGAGCGAGTAGGATAGCATGGTGGGTGTGCTATGCAAGGAATGCCGGCTCATGTTGTAACTAGAACTCCTGAAAGGCCCTGTTCTTTCCATACCGCTGGGGCAGTTTAGACCCCGTTTTGGCGAACAGCCCAACGCCCAACCCCTCTATCTGTCTCATTATCAATGTGGCTTTTTGTGCCTTTAGGCTCTTGTTTTTATGCATGCGAGTCTTGAGCAGCTCCAGCTCCACTGTAGTCCTGCATGTAAACCTCTAGCATGACTGTACCCAGTTTGTGCGCATTGATGTTGCCATTTTGGTGGAGAATTTCCTCCAAAACTCCCCTGCAGGGCTGTGAATGTGTGCCTTTCTGACACGGTAGCCTCCAGTGGGAATTGGTCTCTTGACCATGGAAGTGAGAATTCCTTCTTTATCCACTAAGCTCTAGGAGAAATGGTAGACATCCTATGTGGAGCCCCTCAAATATCCTAGAATTGTATCTACATAAAGTCTGTACATTTTGGCATAGTGAGGAATATCAGTCGATTTTACTAATTGGTTACATTATGGAATGCAGCACAATATTTTTTTTAGACGTCTTTGTGCTGTTCTGAGGTTTTTATGAGTTTTTTTATGCACAGAAAACCTAACTGCAATCAGAATATTTTTTCCCTTTATGACTTTTCTGAGCTGAAAAATAACATCAATAAACCAGAAAGAAAGACAGAATTAAATATTAAATCAGCGCTCCAGTGGGAACCCCTTTAAATGCTATGTATTCACAAATTGCTTCATATTCTCTTATTCTTCTTATATGGAGTATTTATTCTACACAGCCTTTTCACAGAAAGTTGTTTTGCTAAAGCTGCTTACGTTTAAGCATTTCCTTTTGATGATGTAATCCATTTAGTCTTTTCCACAAGTTTTATTCCTACATTTATACTTAAAGGTCCAGTGCGTAACATTTTA